TCAAAAAATATATTATAACTATATATATATATATATATATATATATCACCTAACGTGACTCTTTGTTTGACAGAGTTTGTAAGACCCCTGGGGTCATGGGTTTTATCTCGCCTACATGGGGAATGAAATTCTTAAGCATATGAGGTTGGTCAGGAGGCTCGTCTAATAGCCTCTCGCTAATATATATATGTAATTAAATTAAATTAAAACCTTTTGCTGCTGTGTTAATTTGAATCCATGCATGTCTTCATAGTCCTTCATCTTCAACGTTGGAACATCATCCCATCCAGCCTCCACAAACTTAGGAATTAACTCTTTAAGAACTCCATCTCCAAGAAATTCTTCCATAGAGAAAGATCCTGCCATATAAGCCCCTGAAAAACATAAAAACAATATAAATTAAATCAAAATAGATTTTAAATTTCTTCAAGCATAATATTTCAAAAATTGAAACCAAGATCAAATAATTCAAGTGAAAATTATATCAATATTTATAAGGTTCTTACCTTCAGACAAACTGCTGCAATATTTCAGAATAAGTTCTTCTGAAACTTGGTGGAGGGTCTTCCTGAAGCCAAAGGATATGATTCTGCCTGCTTGAGTCCAGAAAATCTATAGATAAATAGATTAATTATTAGAGGATGGACAAAAGTGTATGTGCTGTTCTGTATAAAAAGGCTTGGGAATTTTTTTTTTTTTGAAAATATAGTTTATATAATTGTTGTGAAAGGGATGAGTTGTATTTTAAATGAAAAAAATATAAATGCTTGTTAATTTATATATTTATTTTTATCAAATTTGGGCCGAATTTAATATTTTTGAGTCTGAGGTCTGTTTGGAGCAGCTGCAGCTTATTGAATAATCTGCTAATAAGTTATGTGCGGTGACTGTGCGGTGACTATTGACTATTACAAATTTTTATTTTTTTGGAAAAGTCAGACCGCAGCTAGAAAGCTGTCACCGCACCTAGATAGGTGCGGTGTGAAAAAACTGTTTTCAGCGTTTTGAAAACGCATAAGCTGTCAAAACGCAGTTTACTCAAACAGGTCGGGTGCGTTTTCAAAACGCCACCACACCAAAAAAAGCTACCCCAAACGGGCCCTTAAAATCATGTTGAGGCTTGTTCTTGTTTTTCTTATCGAAATCCAGTTGTATTTGAGTCTTAATTAATTATATATTTAATGCTATTGATCAAAAATAAAAATTTGTATTCTTCATTAACATAAGCAAATGTTGATTTTTGTTATGAGTTGATAATACAAAAATATATAAAAATTAATTAATTAAATAATAAAATGGATTAACTTCTTAAATAATGAAATAAAAGAAGCATATCAATTAAATCACATGATTTTAGCTTTAGATAGCTAGAAAAATGTTTAATATATATATTTGTAAATTATATTATAAATGGTAAAATATTCAATTATTTGCAGGTAATCAGCATAATAATAAGCATTGAATATTCTTCTTATTAAATTGAAGATAGAATTGTATGTTACCTCTGAATTGGAGAGAATGTTTGTGTGTGATGTTATATACCGCTTTAATTTTTGTTATTTCATCGCTTATTTGGGCTTCAATTTGCCCCTGAGATGATAAGCAAAATGGATATTTACATATATACCACCCAATTCCTATGTATTTACAATACTAACACCTAAATTTAAATTTTTTACAATTATACCGCACAAAGCTTTCGTTACATGCACCATTTTAAATTTTAAAAAGTGAAATACACCTTTTTTTTATGTAAAGTGGTTTGTATGTAAAAAAATGAAGTTTCGGTGTTAGATATATAAATACATAAGAATTGCATGTTATGCATGTAAATTGTTCTAATTAAAAATGTGCATCTTGCCTTAGTTTGGTATAGGGTGGCCATGCCAGTGTCTTGCTTCTTGTCACTAGAGCTTATAGTAGAATTTGTATTGCAATTCCTATGTTCTTGCTTCATTGGCACCTTCTTGAGTATATTCATTTTAAGGGGTCTTGTAGAAGAATATAAACAACCCATCTCCTTTGTACAATAGCATAACTCTTTATTTTGTTTTATCTTATGTGAGCCGACACTCCACTTGTAACTTCTTTCTTTCGATCTAGTCAATTCTCCTCAACTCAGAGTCTTTAAAATTTTGGGTCTTCACGTAAAACCTGTGTTATTTATTTTGCTTAGTTTATTGTTCATTGCTTTGATTTTATTATAAGTGATAATAGAGTATTTTTTATTTCGATGACGACAACAATGAAATATGACATTCTGCTTTTGGATTGTAACACAAAATCTTTTGCTTTAGCGAGACAGGGTGTGAGCAATTTTGGTGCAATTAGATTTAGATGATGCATTACTAGGATTTGACAAGATGCTCTCATTGTGGATGTCATATGAGAAACAACACGATGATTGAAAAAAATTATCTCTGGCTTATCTTCATGTGTCGAATAAAATTTTTTAGGATGTTTTTTGAAAGGGAAAATAGCCAATGCATTATGGTTGAAACTACGTTGTTGTCCATGATGAAGGATCTCATCTGTGAGTTGCATCTGAATAACGTTTACTCCGACAGGTTCGAACTCTTTTAGATCATTTGATTACCTTTAAAGAAATTATGTCTAATTTAGAGGCCATGGAGAGTAATTATGACATGAAAAACTTAGCATTAGTCATGTTATATTCATTATTTTTATCATGTGCAATATTAAAGATTTCATTTTATATCGCCGGGAGATATTTATTTTGAATGAATTTTATGATGCTTATTCTTTAAGGAGAAAATGAAGCAATTTGTGGATGAATATATTGCTCAAGAAGGACTTGTGGGGAGTTTTGGTGTCGATAGGAAAGGCAAACCAAAATTTGAAAATAGGAATAATATATGCAATTATTAGAAGATCATTCAATGGAGGACTTGTGGGGAGTTTTGGTGTCGATAGAAAAGACAAACCAAACTTTGAAAATAGGAATAATATATGCAATTATTAGAAGAATACCAGATCAAATCTGAATGTTACAAACTACAAAACAATAATAAAAAAAGTAACAACCAATTAAAAACAATAATCAAATTATTTTGAATAAGTCAGTGTTGTTGAAGAAGCTATTAGTGATGATAAACTCTTAGTTATCTTACATAATGAATCTTGTAATAATTGAGTTTTTTATTTAACATGCATGCTTCACATGTGTCCTAATAGTGCTTGATTTTCTTAAGATATCAAATAGTATCTAAAAGTATTGTACCAATGAGGAATAATGCTCCTTATAAGATGTTGATATTGAAACAATCATAGTCAAAATATTTGATAGTCATAAGAACATTTGGAGGTACTAGATATGTCATTGATCTAAAAATATATATAATTTTCTTAAATACTCTTGATGCTAAAGGGTATAAATATTTTGGTAAAGATTGAGTTTAAAAATTCGACAATTGCTTGAATGAAAAAATAGAACAAGACAACTAGACTACATGTCTTGTAAAAGTTTATGGCGTTCATTGATGTAATATTTGCTACTTATTCTATATAAGATGATGAAATAACTAGACTTTAGCGCAGAGAATGAGATGATTGAAGTGAGTAGAAGAGAGCTTAGTGATGGTCAGATCATTCTTAGTTAAAGTTTCATGAGCAGTACCTGCTTGAACAGTACAAGAGAGTTAAATTCAACACAAATATTCATAATAGTATGGGAATGCTAAACTACATAAAATTTAACTTTTGAAAACCATCCACAATACTGCTTGAAGATGGTGTGATATGTTTGTTATTGATAATTGATGATTTATTTATTTACTTTTTTGGAGTATGGGTTTTCTTCTTAAAGCAAAAGAGTGATGCATTTATTACCATTAAGAATTGAAAGATTATGATTAAGAAGCAGACATGGAAACAAATTAAATGTCTCCACGCTAATAATGGCTTGGGGCTTTGTTTAAGAAAATTTAATATTTTTTTTGCAAATAAAAAATAATTCTAGACTTTACGATCTGATGTGTATCGATGTGCCTCGAGCCCTACGACCTCAGAGTCTGCTATGTTATGAGGAAATCTTGTCTTTTGACTTTTTCGGCTCTATAGCCACCTGCTCCGATGCTTCTCGGACCACAAGATGGTCTAGTCGGTCCTTTTATGAGAAAATCTCGTCGTTCTACGTTTTAGCTTTATTGCTCGGCTCCTTAGCCAACACACCTACCTCACAAAGAGTGACATAAGACCTAGGTTGAGTCACGTCTCTATGACCTCTGAAATCACCCCTAGGCCATGCCTCTACAGCCTATGAACACATTCGTAGGTTATGCCTCTATGGCCCTGAACCTTTTGGGCATGGTCATGCCTCTACGGCCTCTGAACCACTTTTTTGGGTCATGTCTCTACGGCCCCTGAACTCATTCGTAGGTCAACCCCTGAACATACCGGGCGTGGTCATGCCTCTACGACCTCTGAACAACTTTTTCCGGTCATGCCTCTACGGCGTCTAAACCCGTTGTCGGGGTGGATGTAAATCCCGTGTGCATTCCTCCACATCCCTCTAGAAGTGGTTATGGCTCTCGTGGCTTTTCCTTCCTAGGGTACTTGGCTCTTTTTGGTTGCTTAGGCTACGTAACCTAATTACTAGTCTGGGCTTGACCAAAAATTAAGCAGTTTCCAACAAGTGCATCGTGTCTTAACTGCGTAACATACTTGTTGGGGGTTCTTTGTTGGCATCATTTTTTTATATCACTAATGTAGAATATCCACCTGCATGGCTTGGGATAAATTATAACTTGTCTGTAACATCCGGTAGTTCAGACATCCACCCAGGACCATTCGATGTGTGAGGCACCTAGGCGCTACGAGTTGGCATCACAACGCCAGACCAAAGTTGGACATTTTTTACTTTTAATCCCAAACATCCAAACATGCTCATAAATAGCTTGCAAAAAATACTAAAGCATCCACATGAAAAAAATATGCTAAACAAACAACTTTTTCATTACATTAGGAATGTTCGTACATTAAATTTAACAAAATGAAAGAGCTACAATCCCTTAAATGGGAGAAATACACCAAGAGAAAATACAAATAACAAAGCAAAAGAAACAATGTCAAGCCTAGTACTTTGCTCATCGACGCCGTTGTCGTCATCGTCGGCACCGCCCACTGCGCCCCTTTGCCCGACCTCTGAAAAGAGCGTGTAAGGATGGGGATTAAATTGGCTAGGTAGGTCCCCACTGAAGAATTTCCCAAAGACTTGAGCTTATGACTGTCAAAAAGCTCGTTATTCATATCAACTCGTGTTCAACTCGTTAAGTAACTTATGTTCGAATTGTTCATTAAGTAGAGGAGGCCAACATGAATATATATATAATTTCGAATTACAAATAAGTTTAGAAAGAACAACCCTTTGTTCAAACGTATTCGACTCATTTTAGCTCAAAAAAAGAAATTATATATATTAGTTATATAATAAAATATTATATATTTTTTATATAATATTATATTTTCAACATTAATATCAAAGTTTACATGATTATAGCTCATGTGATCATGTAGTTGTGTGTCTTTATTGCACAGAATTGATGTCTGTTCAAAGCCAATACCACGTATCTATTCATTCTATTTAATTTAAATGAGT